CAGCCGAGACCGCACCCCGGCAAAGCATACAGGAAAAGCACGGCAACCTTGAGCAGTTAAGAGCAGAAGCCAGGCGAGTTGCAGCGGCGTCCGAATGCAAGCGAAACCCGACAAGTGGAGCCCCGAACCGGAAAGAGCATCCCCTTCCTTAAGCCGGCACCCCTCGCCCTCCCCTACGCGCAAACCCGCTTACCCATCTCCCCCTTCTCGCGCCCCTCCGATGCCTTAGGCGTGTCGAGCCGAAGGCGCTGTAATGCAATTAGCGGCAATATTCCGACCGGCGATACGAACACAAGTGCTAATAGTATTATCCCGCGAGTAATGAATATTTACAACGCCAACAACAATATATTGCCAGATCAAAAGACAATACTTTCTGTGATTTAATCGATCTTCCTCCCTTCCTATATTCCCATACCTATATCCCTTCCCTATGTTTGTTTTGTTTTGTTCTCCCTCCCTTCCCTTCTGATCATGGCATCCGTGCGCGTTTGCACGAAGTCACCGCGTGTCTTGGAAACAAGCATGCTAACTTCCTTTTCAAATCATGTTTTCCTCCAAATATCTCTAAACACGACATTATGCGCCGCCGAACAAAAACAACCGGGACGGAAAACAGGTCATAAAAAACGAGGCAAAACACAGAGAAAGATCTGGGGGGAAAACGCGTCTTCTCATCAAACGTCATTTACGTAAGCAATCACAGAACGTCACAAAACATGGAAGAGATCTACATGATGTCGGCGAGAGGGGAGGGGGGCCGGCCCCGCTGCCCTCCCCTCTCCACCCCTCGCCACCCCTACACCTCCCCTTCCACTCTCCTCCATGAGCGACCATGTCCCTCACGAAAACACCAGCTCTGAGGGAGCCAACATGACTTGGGAAGAATATTAGATTAGGGCGCCGCGCACGACGATCCCCGGAGCTCAATGGGAGTCCGCGTGAAGGACAAAACACTGGCTTAAGACACTCCTCCTCCTCCTCCTCCTCCTTCACAGAACCTCCCAAACGAGAAAGATCTTGGGCGTACATCGCGACGGACATGTCGTGTTCGTTAAAGATGCCATATGCTCGAGTATGGAGAGAGAGAAGGGGAGGGGACGAGAGAGTATTAGAGAGAATGAGAGAGGAAGGGGAGGCGACGAGAGAGTAAAGGAGATGGGAGGGAGAGAAGAAAGAGATAGGAGAGGGGAGATTTGAGAACGAGGAAGAGAAGGGGAGAGGAGAGAGAGCAGAGAGACAATGGGAGAGAGAGAGAGAGAGAGAGAGGGGAAGAGGAGGAGAGATGAGATGGGAGAGGAGGAGAGACGAGAGAGGAGAGAGAGACGAGAGAGAGAGAGAGAGAGAGAGAGAGAGAGAGAGAGAGAGAGAGAGAGAGAGAGAGAGAGAAGAGAGCGAGAGAGAGAGAAGAGAGAGAGATGAGAGAGAGAGAGAGAGAGAGAGAGAGAGAGAGAATCTTGAATAGCAATCCAGAAAGACTACCGGCCAGACCAGAGGGCCGGGCCAGTCGCACAATTGGGAAGCCAGGGTCCTCCAATCCAGAGGGCAAAGGCGCACGGTGACTTGTTCAAGACAAACGTGCGACTAAGTAAACTATCCACTCCTGCGCCCACGGGGACAGACAAACTGGGCAAACAACGGCCCCGCACCCGGATATTACAGCCCTCTCCCTTGACCCCTTCTACTCTCACTCGCCTCTCTCCCCTTGACGCCAACTCCTACCTGGCTCGCTGTTGCTTGCACTCGACGCCTGCACCCTTGCAATTACTGGCCGACACCGCCACGTCCTCCAGCTGTCACACTTACTGACACACCCTAACACACTCCCCAGCAACCAAGGAAACGCACGCACGCATTCACACACACACACGGTGACACGTACAAGCAAAGACAAACGCAAACACGGATCCTCACTCCCCGACTGAAAAAGACCCTCTTCGTTTTTGTCACCGTCTCCCTCCATCGGACCACCCGACAGAATCCGACTTCGCCAACATACCAGAAATAAAAATGTACATAACACCGTATTCAAGAGCGGAGGAGGGGCCCCGGGTTGCCTTTCGACTCTTCAAATGAAAAGTAAATAACAAGAAATATTTATCGGGAATATCAATACCAGGATCGAGGAGCCCGACGGGAAGAGGAGAGAGAGTGGGAGTGGGAGAGGGAAAGGAAGAAGGAGAGGGAGTAGGGGGATAAGTAGAACCAGAACGCACCGGTTCCTTATTTTCATGCAAGATTTAGCTGTGCCCTTTGGACGAGGGCCTTGTTGGGGAGGCGCGTTCCAGTGACCCTCGCGGGGCCACGTGGCTCCGGGAACCTTCTCCTCGGGGCCGAACGCCAGAACTTTCATCCCGGGCCCTTCAGAAACATGGCTCCTTCGAGACGCGCGCTCGAGCTCTCGCGCTTCCCCAGGAGACGCTGCCCCCTCCCCCCCTCCCCCCTCCCCCCACCCGGCTTGCGCGGCGCACCTCCACTCGCCTCGGATAACAACTCCTGGCTATGGAGTGGGCGAAGGGAAGTCTTTGTTTTCCTCCCACCCGTGCGGAGTCTCCATCTGGCGCCAGAGCAAGACAAGACAGCATTCGAATTCTAACACGCAAGGAAAAAACATCAACAACAGAAATCAACTCCTATACGTAACCTGTACAGACAAAAAGCAATAAAGATACGAAGACCATTCGCCTAATACACTGCAACCTTCATTACCGTGAATACTTGTGCATGAATTTCTGGAAATCAACACCAATTACGGGTTTTTCCCCTTCTCATTTTTGGAAGCAGCATTTCTTTACAGCGGGTTTTCAATGGCATCCTTCCACTTGAAAGCCAAGCCCTCTTAACCTTTCGGGAAAGCTGTGGTGCGTGTGCTTAATTAAATCAATTATAACACTCTCTCACTATGTGAGTATGTGTAAACGTGTGCGTGTGTGTGTGTTCGTGCGTGCGTTTATATACATTTACATATGCATATATCTATCTACCTATCTCTCTCTTTGGAAACACACCCAAACCCAAACCCAAACCACAACTCTCACACACTCACACAAAACACACACACACACACTCTCTCTCTCTCTCTCTCTCTCTCTCTCTCTCTCTCTCTCTCTCTCTCTCTCTCTCTCTCACACACACACCACACCACACACACACACACACAACACACACACACACACACACACACACACACACACACACACACACACATCTCTCTCTCTCTCTCTCTCTCTCACTCTCTCTCTCTCTCTCTCACACACACACACACACACACACACACACACACACACACACACACACACACACACACACACACACACACACACACACACACACCACACACACTCATACACTCACACACTCACACATCACTCACACACACTCACTCACTCACTCACTCACACACTCACTCACTCACTCACTCAACTCACTTCACACACACACACTCACTCACTCACCTCACACACTCACTCACTCACTCCACTCACACACACTCACTCACTCACTTCAACTCACTCACTCACTCACTCACTCACTCACTCACTCAACACCACTCACTCACTCACTCACTCACTCACTCACTCACCACACACACACACTCACTCACTCACTCACACACTCACTCACTCACTCAACACACTCACTCACTCACTCACACACACTCACTCACTCACTCACTCCACACACTCACTCACTCAACACACACTCACTCACTCACTCACTCACTCACTCACTCACTCACACACACACACTCACACACTCCACTCACTCACACACTCACTCACTCACTCACAACACACTCACTCACTCTCACTCACTCACTCACTCACTCACTCACACACACTCACTCACACACACTCACTCACTCACTCACTCACTCACTCACTCTTACTCTTACTCTTACTCTCACTCGCTCACACACACACACGAAAAAAAACAAAAACAAAGGTCATCGTCATCTCCCGGCAGAGGCGCCCGCAGCCGTCGTCTCCCCAATAACCCGAGGGCAGGTCCACCAGGGGGGCGTCGTCACGCGGGGGCGGGGGCGGCGGGAAGGCGACTCCTCCGCCAAATTCTCCCCCTTTGAGGGAATTCTGGGGTGATTGTTCCCGAGGAGATGGATCTGGGAGATGCTGTAATTTGGTAAATTGGAATCCTAGTTGGATCCTGCTTGTTTCGCCAGCCCCGACCAATCAGTGGGGCCCCTCGCGCGCCCAGACAAAGCTACGTAGTCATTACTAAAATAATGATAATCGTCATGAATAAATAATGACAACAACAACAACAATAATAATAATAATAATAATAATAATAATAATAATAATAATAATAATAATAATGATAATAATAATAACGATAACAATAATAGCAATGACAAAAAAATATAATAATAATAGTTTATAATAACAATTAACAACAACTAATAATAATAACAATAACATTGCCGACGATGACATGACGAAGAGAGGCGAACGCCAAACACGGCTTGCAACGGAATTTGAAAGGCAGAACTCGGAACGCCCATCTTAGCGCCGTGAACGAGAGGGACGCCATCGGGTGGATGAGGGCACGGGAGGATAGGAGGGGGGGGGCGTGGAGAAGGATGGGGGGGGGGGGGGGGCATCATGGCAAATTGCGGCCCCGAAGACCTCCCCGACGCCGCCACCATGCACGTCGCGGGCGGAGAGAGGGTCGCATCGCTGCAAACCGTCTTCGGCCNAAAAAAAAAAAAAAAAAAAAAAAAAAAAACATACCTTTGCCTTTTTCTTGATTTCCTTTGTCAGAGGATGGACGGCATGAGGGCCAAGAGTTGACAGAGGCCCATGGGAGTACCTCTTTAAAGGTGGCCGATGGAAGAGTCGTAACTTCTTTTCTCCCATGTAAGTCGGAATGAAAGGTGGTTGCAACTCAACCTGAAAAGAGAAAAGAAAGTGGTTAATTAATTTGATATAGATGTTTCTGTCCAATCATGATAAATCTCAAACTAGTATGATAAAAAGGATGAAAGCCAAAAATAAAAGAAAGAAAGTCAGAAAATATAAATGGTAATGATACTAACATTAATAATCAGAAGCAGAAGAATTAGACAATTTACAAAAACATATGTACACATATATAAATAGGAGAAAAGAAACAAAGAAAGAAAACAGAAAAAGAAAGAAAGGACGACAAACATAGACATCCCCCCTGAAAACTTACCACAGGTGTAGAGTGCTGGAGGAGCCCGCCGCCCATAGACATCTTGATGGTCTGTTCAGATGACTTAGGCTGGTAATACTCATCATTAGATATATTGAATGGATCCTTGTCAGGCGACTTGGGGGGTGGAGGAGGGGACTCTTCCTCGATGGTGGTGATGACTCCAGCTTTGCCGAGGAGGATCTTTGACTTCTTCACGTGGGGGTGAGGGATTTTGACCTTGACAGGGGCATCAGCTGTGGGGCAATAGGACTATTAATGCTGTACTAAGGTATGATAGTTGTCTGAGGTGTGGGTAAGAACAATTCTGTTTCTCTGTTCCTCTCTTTAATAAATCTAATTCTGCAATGAACAAAAATGGTAACTCTGCTACCATCTCCATTGCATAATACTTCAACTTTGTTTTAGAACAACATATTTCACCAATTACTCAAATGCATATGGATATAAATGCTATCGTCAAAGTACATAACTTTCCTCAGCGTTCATATCCAAAAGTACTCTACTAACTAGCTATTCTTTACCCTGTTGATACAGTGCATGTATGCATCCACTGTCCACTCTGGTTTTGTTATGTCAATTTCTTTTTAAATGTAGCTGGCTCCAAAAACACTCAATTAATAAGAAATTGATTACCTGGCCTAGCTGACTTCATCTATCTACATTATTCATTTAATTTTAGGAAGGATTTTTTTAATAACCAATATGATCATAATTGTTAACTGGGTTATTAGTCATCTTTAGCTCTGAATAATAAAAAGTTAAATTTTGAACTGCAGAAATCTCATTGTGAGAATTCCCACTGCCACCAAGTTCAAGCCAAGAATCTTAAACAAGCATCTTTTCACACAGGACAAAGTACAACTACCTTGGGCAAGGGTGGAAGGATCCACATCTTCTGGAATTCCAAGAATGATGTTCTCATCGTTGGGATCGAGTGTCAAAACTGTTGGTTCGGGGATACTGTCCATGTTCTCTGGGTCCCAGATGATGTTGTCTTCCCATCGACCATACACCAGCTCCTCATTCTCCACAGGGAAGATGGAGTACCATGTGTCGTCTAAGTTGCCTTTACTGTTGGATGGATATATGGGACCTGCATCATCACTGGCATTTTGTTCCACTATACAGATATAATTCACCATGTGAAAATTCAATTTATAAACAGAGAAGTAATGCCATAATAAAAAGGCCAATAAGTAAACTGAGAAATAAAAAATAATCATTGTATCTACCAGAACCAAACCTAGCACACACCCCATGCAAAAGAAACCAAACAAACTAATGAAACTTACGGCATTTGGCTTTTCGTCTTGGCTGCTTTTGCTGAGGCAAAAGGTGTGGTCACCTTAGAGGGCTGGCTGAATGCTTGTGCCGTCCTGTTGTAACTGCTCGGCACCCACCCGGCAGCCATGTTCTTCCGTTTCTGATTAAGCTGCAAGTGATAATATTGACCAAAGTGGACGAAGCCTATCCAAGCTAATACTGAATTCAAATGATTCCTTCAATTTCAAGTGACTTGGCACAAGGTATTACTTTACATTTTCTTTAAATTACTGATTATACACTAAAAATATGCATTCAATTGTTTCTACACTATTCTGGTCCAAGAATATATATCAGCATAATAACTCATTCTTACATCTAAAAAGAATACACTGTCACAAACCATATGAATTGCTCAATTAATTGGTTATGGTATAAACCAAAAAATATACATGTACAGTAAAAATACATGTTAGGAGAAAGAAAGTTTTTTATGTTCATAAAAATACCCTAAACAGTTTGTAATGCTAAAAGATTATAAACCTAATACTGCCTACATATTACTTCTGTTTTCAATTATCAGAAGTATGTTTGATCTTTTAATAGATGGCAGAAAAGCTTGATGGCTGTGTCACTGGAGAGAAAAAATAAATATACACATATGTACATAAAGACATTGGTAATGGTCAGAGAGTAAAAGTTCTCCTAAACAGAGCTCAATACGTTGTCTTAACAATTCTAAATCATAGCTCAAAAATCTGTATTATTTCATTATCACTACAAACAGGGCAGACAAATGCATAAGAATCGCAGCTCAGGCTGTTTCAACGTACTTTATGCTTGATGTCATCCCCATTCCAGATGATGTCTTCCTCCCAGTTGTACTGTGTGACCATGTGGAAGCAGTCATCTGGGAACTCTTCCTCGTTGTCTGCATCATAGCCGTTCATCTTGGGTACCATCTTCAGGGGCTGTTCAATCTCAGGTTCCTCGGTCTTCATTTCAATTTTCTCTGGTGGTTTTATTTCCTGCAACTAA